ATGCCATATCCTGACAAGGCGTCACCGGTGCGTACCGCCAAGTCCGCCTCTCGCAGTCGCACCTTGCGGAGGCGCGTTCGAACGACACGAAGGACGCTCATACGAGGTACCTGCGAAGTGTCGACCGCTTCCTGGTGTGCGCCAATTACGCCTTGAAATCATCCCTCCCCAGAGACGACCTGGAGCCCGTTCGCGCCTACACGGGGGACGTTCTCGCTGAACTGACTCGCATTCTGTTGGAGCTTTTCGCGCAGGACAAGGTGCGGGCCACCATTGAGTCGACACATCTAGACAATGTCATGTGGAAACTTCGCTCTCTCGATGATGCCCGGGTAAAGGAGTGCATTGCGGATGATCTCGTTCCACACATCTTGCGCCTAGCAGAGAAACTCGAGACTGCCTGTGACTATGACGACGAACGCTGGACAGGATCTATTCAAAAGTGTGCTGGCGAATTGAAAGAGAGGATATTCCGCGTAAAGTACAAGCCTGAGACAACGTAAGTCATCGTGTTGCGCTTCTCAATGTATGCTGGTCACTTACAAAGCTTCCTGTTCAATCAGGACATATCCCGAGCCATCACATGGTGGCGTATCCGCGCCCGAGGCAACGGCGGGGCCGAGCCCCGCAATCCCCCACTCGAGCTCCGCCGTGGATCCGGGGGACGATTCGCAGAAGGAGCACACGGCCGATCCAGGCGGGGCTTCTTGAGAGGCATCGAGTGTTCCGAGGCTCCCCTCACGCGTATGTATGCTCGATCTCGTGCTTACCGGACGTGCTAACGGATCCATCTGACAGTTATCTTGCCTCATCCCTCGGAAACGGCCCCCTTGTCCCATTGTGCTCAGCTTAAATTCAATGCCAAACCATCGACGTCAGACACTCCCTCACACCTGGCTGCTCACGGCGACAACAAGCATGCTCTGTTGGTGATGGTGTACGCATCGCAACACGTCCGCAATTCAGAATTCCCTCCCCGTTCGCCTGCCCCGCAGACTACCACGTCGATTCTACCGCTCGATTTCCATTATGCAGTTATCAAAGTATAGCTCGCAGATCTCCCACCCTCAGAGACACCATCGTCCAGCTCCTCCGAGTGCGCGCGCGGTTGACACCGGCTCCCACTGGCCACCTCCAAATGCTCCTCACCATTCCCCGATGCCGCCCTCCCAATTCGTTTCACCGTGCCGGGCGCTCATGGCACTTTCAAGATCCGCCACCAATGTCGCATACACGACGACTCTCCCGGACCTTCGGATCTCTATACGCCCCTGCGCACAGCCCGTGTCCCACTCATTCATCCATTCATCCTCCTCCTTTCATTCGCCTTCACGCCTCTCGCTTTGTCTCGCTACGTAGTCTTGAGCCCCTATCTCTATTCTGTCCTTCTTCCACCCCCCCCCTATGCACGCACTTCGAGTTCTTCATCACGATGCATAATTCTCCGACCTCCCTTTTGCCGCCTCATGATGTGTGCTCCGGTTTCCGGCCCTCTCGATGATGCATGTTGTACCTCGAATACACCGTATCCCCGATATTACTACCTACGTCCCGGATTTCTTGTTGTACTATTTACTTCCATTACAAATCGCTTTCTATCTCCATCGCATACCTCTCACGCAACGATACGAGGTTTTGGTGACTCAAAAAGTGGTGATACTGTAGAGCGAGTGTGCTAATCGCGCGTGGCCAATATACGTATGTCACCGCGCGTATACTCTACATACATTACAACACGGGTCTGACATGGATTCCAGTTTGCTCCCGCCGACCGTGCCTGCAGCCTGTCAGAAGCAGCGATGCTCGTTACAGCATGGAAACCCCATATGCCCATAACCCGAGCCGCAACACCGGGGCAAATAAACGGACGCCGCACTTGTTGAGAGAACCGCACTGCGTGCCTTTGGATGGTGCAGAAGACGAGCGGCGGTGGCACCATAAACGCGGGCGTAGGGCATATCAACGAGCTCGGCATCGGAACTCAAAGAGGTGTACGCGCTATCGGCGTACGACACGGAACCTCTACTTGGGAAGGAGTACGAAAAGTGCGGATACCCAACGCGTGATCAGTCGTGGGTATCAATAAGGCAACACGTATGGACTCACTCACGGGGATGTTGAACGCAGAGGCATAGAAGACGCCCCTGGATATCCTGAAGCTTGTCGGGGGGTCTTCGTGTTGATAAACCTGGCGATTCCACGTAAGTAAGCACGCCGTCAGACCGAGCAAGTCGCGTACTCCCAGAGCCGATGTATCCGAAGGCGCGGAAGTGTCGACTACTCTGTCCAGGCGTTGACTTTGGCCCGGAGTGCTGCTTGCGTCGACTTGGCTGCAGATGCGCGAGAGAGTTGAGCGCCGAGGCGGTACGGTATACGTCCGGTACGAGAGGAGGTTAGCGGACTACACGGTGACACGCCGTGTATTGAAGTGGATGTGCAACCGGGCTGCCTCAGATGAGGACTTTGTGATGATGATTCTGCGATGATTGCCAAAAACTCACGATAATCTCAGCCAGAATGTACAAGTCCTCTTCCGTAGAAATCAGGGGGAACGAGGAGCGAGTAGGAGCTCGAGGGGTATGTACGGAATATCCAAGTGAGACGTGTCCAGGAACGAGGGCGACAAATGCAAAATTTGAGTGAGAAGCAACAGGGATCTTGACGCAAAACGTGCAGCTCATATTAGCTTAATAACGACTGTACCGAAGCTGTAGAACGCGACATACCGAAAGTATGCTGCCAAGCAGTGTCACCATCCGTAAAGTCAACGCTCATGAGCTTGTCAAGGAAAGTGTCAGGTATTGCATCGGCATAGGCTGGACTCCATGGAGCGGTTACCTACCTGGCGAAGATAGACAGAGAGCATTCGAGATAGCTGGCATGCAAGAGTGAATCCCGGAGGGAAACTCGTAGAGTTTGGAAAGTGGGACCAAGGTTAGCTTGAGGTTGGCAAGCGCAACCGGGGACACCGTTAGGTATGGTTGAAGACGTTGGGGAGCTTTACGGACGATTTTACGCTCTGCGGGAGACATGGTGGGAGCAACGACCGATGACGTACAGGCGGGCGTAGGGCTGCGAGAGAAGCGCGGTCACGTGAGCGCGCTTCTCCTGCCTGAGCGCTGCAAGCGCCGTCGTTCGCCTGCACTCTGACCGCGAATCGATCCTCCTGCTCCTCCCCGCCCGACCCAGATTTGCGTGCTATGCTCTGCCTGGGATATGAGCCTCCGCATACCGATATCAAGACACGCTCGGCGAGCTGCACCCACAGCCCAGCGAATTCCTCCGCGGCTGCAGTGCCAACGTCTAGTGTACTCACCTCTGGTCGGCTCTATCGGTAAGTTCACACATCATTGTCTGCATTCTTCCTGCTGAACGTTTAGTAGTATCGATAGTTCTACGCATGCACCCCACCAGCCTATGCCTTCCAAATCCCAATCTCCACACCTCGCGGACGTCTGAGGAGTCCGTCAAGATATCATCTCATCTCTTCTTGCGCACACGCACGCGTAGTCCGAGATGTACATCGATCTCCTATCGGAAACCGCCTGTAGCGCCCCCACAGGACAAGGGACACACTTTCTCCGCGGTTCGTCGTATCATTCCCATTGCAGCGCTGACGTCGCTCTCCCTAGAAATCACAGCAGTGTCCTCCTTCGCCGGGCCTACGATGCAAGCAAAGGCTCATTACCGCAGTGTCTCACTGTATGTCCCTCTTCCGTTTCTGCGCAAGGGCAGGCCGCACAGGGTCTGCTATGACCTCTGATGCACACTCCACAGCATACATGCGCCGACGACGCCTCAAGCACGGCGCATATACGCGGTTATGTAGGCTTTCAACGTGCACTTTGGGTGTGCCTTCACGTACGTCGCTACCCTTCCGTATGGTAGTTCCTGTTGCGAGCTAACATCCGTGTTCCCCGCTAGCTTTGATGCCTGCCCGCGTCCCCTCGCCCCTGCTCTCGCATTGGGACGATTACGACGAGGAACAATGGTATGTAGGCCCCCGACGTGTTGCCATGTCCCATGCGCGACGATAACGGGGCACCGTCAAGTACCGACATCGCCCTAGCTTACAGAGATGGGGGTCTGCTTCCGCAATTCTCATGTATGAACATCAGAACCGACGGATTCGTGCCCACTCTGGGAGCCTTTGAAACAACACCGTCCCCTCGTCCTTCCTCAACACTCATACTAAGCCTGTGCGACAGACTCGGACAGCGTTCAAAGCGCCTGGGGGAAGCAGACTCCTCCTCCAACGACGACGACTCAGACGCTACCCCGACACTGTCTAAACGTTTAGGTTCTCCTGCTGCGAGGACGAATGCGGATGACGTCCCGTGGGCCCGTGGCTCAAGAAGCTGAGAGTCATCAATGCATCTCGCCGACCGAATTAACGAGGCCGCACGCACATGGGAGCGTACGGTGATTGAGATAGCAAGTACCGTAGTGAGCCGTGGACCGTGTTCGTGTCTGCATGTGGTGCGCGCAGGCTGCAACGCCTCATTTCCCCTGTCGGGAGCGAGATGCTTGTCTCAGGATATATTCAATACGCGTCACCGTGCACTTCGTGTGTATGAGTTGAGATATCGATTTCGCAGGGCGTGCGAGCGACCAGGTGCTCGAAGGAGTGAAACGTGAGGAATGTAACTATGACATACGGGCGAGGTATATACGAATTCTATGGTACACGAATTGACTGTCAGCCAAGAGTACATGCCCCAGCGAGCATCCTGGGGCATGTATAGTCGGTGCCGAGAGCATATAGTCCGAATACATATGGTGTCTGGTGATACGGTGGCTGCTCTACACACGTCATGTCAGGTGTTTGCTCCCTCGAAACACGGCGAAGGCGCGTTGTCGGACGTAGGTATGCTCGCAGTGGTCCGTCAGGAAGGTCACAAATGGTTGGTGGTGTGCCGCAGGACATTGTGGAGCACCCTTCGCGCATGCTTCATGGGGGAACGCAGCGTGGTAAGGGCGTGCCGTATACGAGATCGTCTTCAATGCGTGTACCTGAAATATGCTTTCCCGGGGTCATGCAGGAAGCCGAGACGCGCATCGGCGCCGTGAGCGCCAGCGCGAGACACCGTGATCGGTCCTGGTTTGCGCTCCCGGGTGCTTCCAGTAGCCGACGCAACCTTTCCAATGAAAAGAGAGTGGAAGTACGAAGGCGGAATCCTGACAAATGATTAGTCGTACATATTTAGAAGACGGCACGTACCCGCATTCTGGTTCTGGTGTCGTTGAATGCAGAGACACAGAAGAGGTCGCACAATCTGCGGGAACTTGTAATGCAGCATACGTAATAGCTGAAGCCTGACATGCACCGCTGGTTAACATATCCGGGGCCAGACAGAGAGGACTGCTCACGATGACGATGTGGACATGCCGACCACTCCTGCGAGGTGTGGGTTTGACGGGTACGGCGTCCGCGTTGTCAGGTTCTCGGTAGGGGATGCCCTCGCTCTCGGTTTTAATCATCCGTGTGCGCGTCAGTCAATATTCGACGAATGGGAGGGAACGGCTGGGGGGACGTACATGGCCGCCTGCATCGATGAACGCCTCCGCGTGGTTGATCAACCACTTGGGGTCGCGCACGCCGGCACACTCGCTCCTCGACGGATGTTTCGCCGCTCGTGCTCCACTGGATGGTGACCTCTTCGGCTCGGAAGTGAGCTCGATCGACGACTCTGAGTCGTCCGTATGTCAAGAGAGAGGCCCGGAGGAGATCGCGAGTATATCGAACCTGTATGGAGAGGCATTGCCAGGAACGCGAGTGCAGAGCTAGGGCAATGCGCAAGAGGCGGACCCGCCGATGAGAGAAGAGCCATGCCGGTAGAGCTGGAAGACGTCCCCATCAGCGTCAGATCGAGAGTGACCGCCAGCGGGGTAGACCTGAACAAAACGTCACTATTGCCGAGCCCGCATGCGAATACAGGGCGTCTGAGAAGCTCCACTGCGTCGGTGACTGTGATTCGTGAAACGGCGGTGGAGACCTCTGACAGGCAGCCGGCCAATCAGCGGCGAGTTTGTAGTAGCTTCACAGGACGTACCGTTCATAGATGCCATTACAACAATCATCCCGACCGACGTGTCGTGAATCGGGTGACTGGTCCCGTAGCCCAGGTGCTCGCGGCGTTCAGGAGCAGCTCGCGGGTGCAAGCGGTCCCACGGATCGCGATTTTGTTGGCTACGTCTTGCATGCGTGCCTAGGATTCTTCTGTCGCACAAGACGTATTAGCCACCAGATGTTTTCTGAGAGATCGACTTACCCGTTTTGATCTGCCACCGAACCCTCCAGGCCGTCATGGAGGCCCTCGCAGGAGCATCCTGGCGATGGATATCACGACCGCGGGTGCCGTCGAGTTACGTCGTGTCGCAGCGCCTGTATTCTCCGTAGGTCCGTAAGTACCGGAGCGTAAATCAGACGGGACGGAAACTAGCGAGAGCATTGAGGGGACGTCCATGATGTACCGAGTGCAGAAGCAGAGCCGATATAGCTAGCAGGGTGGGACATCGCTCACCAGATACCGGCGGAACGATGTGCGGATGAGTTCATGAGGTGGTACCGGATGGCGCACTTGAGACGGCCAGGGAGTTGAGACGTCGCGCGAACTCGCGTCCGGATGTAAAGCCGGAGGCGGGCGACCATTGCCAATGCCGGTGCCGCAATGTAACTGTGGACTGGAGGGTCAATGGTGTCGCGAGGAGTCCAGATCGGGGTTCCATGGGGCGCTCAACGACAGCCACGGTGAGGTCCCGCTTGAGAGCCTTCACGAAACTAGCATGGTATCGTGCATGAGCTAAGCTCTAAGATCGACGTATCACGCTCGCATAGACTGACACGTACCTCCAGGACTCAAGTCCACCTTAGATACGCGCTTCATGGTATGAAAGCTACATGTAGGCAGTCATAGCTTGATGCGAGAACACGGGGAGTATGTGGAGCCTGGTAGCGGTCTTCAGAGGCCGAGTACGACTGTATGCTCAACGAGGGCAGATGCTAACAGAACAATATGGAGGTAGAGCATATTTCGCAACAGCACAAGATTGAGGTGGGGTGGGGACGAAATAGAAAGACAAGGCCAACCAGCAGCAGCAGCGGCGAGGTATAAATCAGCGAAGGAAGCCGTAAGAAACTGACGTCACAAGAGAATATGCAGGGCAGGAAGAAAGGACAAAATGAGAACGTACCGGATGAGTCCGTTGCCCTGCGGAAACCATATGTCCCTAGTCGCTTCTGTTCTGTTAAGAGTCTACGCAGGACGTGAGGATGCGTGTCGTTGTACGAAGTGGACCGAGTATGCGCCGAGAGAAGAGCAAGAGCGCTGGTGGGAATGCCATGCTAGTCGTCGGTGTTGTAGTGCAAGTCAGCAACGAGGCGACCCCAGAAAGTGAGGCCAGAGCTAGCGTGAGGTGAGGCTCACAAGAGTGTCGATGGCTTGCTGTGCAGTGTAGCGGCGAGGACGAGCGGCGGGAGACGCGGCGGGAGCGAAGAGCGACGATGACGCGCAGGCGGGCATAGGGCGGCGAGAGAAGCGCGGTCACGTGGGCGCGCTTCTCCCGCACCGGCCCAGCAAGCGCCGTCGTCCTCGCTTTGAGCGCGACTCGATCTTCCCGCTCCTCGACGTCTCACTATAGCTCACTCAATGTGCTTGTCTTGATTACGTGCACACGGATACGACAGGGCTCCGCTCTGACCGCGACTCTCCTGCCACGTCTTGCAAACGGTCTACCCCTCTTCCACTGCTCTAGCTTTCTATATACTATGGCGACGCATACTCGTTGTTAGCTCCGGGACTTCCTTAGAGCTTCACGCCCACGTGCAAGACTGGAGACCTCGCAACTTCCCGCATCAAGCTTCTCCTCGTGCTATCCCGCATTCTACGTCGGTGGTGACTGTCCTTCGAACTGGCGACGCTCCATCTGGTTTTTACACGTACGATCTCTTCTCATCACTCCCCGAGAAGTGAGACACTCCGTATACACTGCTGCGCGCGCTCTGAGTCGGCATACCCGTTGGCACCGTGGATGACGCCGCTGTTAAGATTGTACCTATCGAAGAGCGCGATCAAACTTGCCATTGAGTATTGGTATCAGCCTTTTCTGTTCGTTGTGTCCTACTCCAGTTGAATCCTTTGAATATCACTCAGAAATGTGCGCATATATGCGACCGCGTCGCTCAGAACGCCCCTGGTCGACCTTCGTCATCCTGTGAGTTACCACTTACTTCACGGTCTGCTGTCATATCTCAGTCCTGTCCGCGCATCGCCCCTCGCAGAGTAGGATGTATCCCTTTCCGCTCAACACGACCTTCTCCTTGGCTGGGTGTCTCATTCAACGCTCATGCTTCTCTCCGCCACCTCGTTCTCGTTCTTCGCATCCCGTGATCCCATCCGCGGACATCAACCCGCTACCCGCGCCATCGTCGCTTTTGACCGTGAATACTTTGATTGTGTTGTGGACGTACGCGAACACAACGTCCGTCCATTTATGGTCGAATGCTCTGCAGCCGTCTTCAGCGCCTCAACCATCGCACCGTCTATCGCTCGGCAGGACTCTCAAGTAGTGCGATTTGCACGCACTCGGTGAGCGAGTAAGTATGTACTCTGCTCCCGCAAGCATCTCAGATATTGAGATGTTCGTAGGAGTCCGGGCGCCCGCTATCGGCGATGATGGCGGAAACTCTGGTAGAGGGTGCACGATGGCTTGAACAGGTGAGATCCACTCAGTCCCAGCATGACATGCCTTGTTGGTCTAGTTCATCCTGCAGCCTGGAGCAAAGCGGGTACGCGGAAGGCGACCCATCGCTGCCAGACGTTGATGAGTGGGCCGGCTTACGTTTCGCGATACTCCGTATTGCGACATCGGCCGGGAGATTGAGCGTCGATAATCTCATGTCAACACACATCTCAAGCGGCTCAAATGGCGACCTCGCCATGTTCCCGATCTACACGCCCCAGAACGCCCGCGTTCTGCACCAGCAGCAGAAGGTTTGCCAATCCCGCGCAGACTCTTCGATACGTTATGCGGTGAGTACTGGTATTTTTCACTTGTCGTACCCTGACTGAACACTCTCCGCGTTCCGATTATCTAGGATATCTTTGATATGCGGAACAGAGGCTCGGTGCTGCCTGATCTGCAGCTGCCGAGACAGAGGTCGCACACAGCAACGACTACTCGCAAGGTCCCAGCGCGGTGACTACTCCCGGGGCTCACCACGCAAGCAGGACAACGAGGTCGACGATAATTCACGTCAAACACAAGTGCGCGTGCTCATTACCTGCGTAGATCAGCGAAAACCTGTCATAAGGGTGCGCATTGTACTGGTCCATGAACCGAGAACACCTCATCAACGACAACGAAGTGAAAAACGAGATCCAGTCGAGTTCCGTGAGTGGCTACTACACTCGAACGACGGCTAGTTAAATCGTTCCGTTTGTGTTAGACTGGTCCGGCGACCCCGCGTTTCATGTCTTGGTCGCGCCCGCGACGACGCGCGGTCTAGCCCATCGAGTGCGCTTTATTGCTCTTGATGTCTTACCATACAGACCCGCACACTGGAGGCCGGCGAGACGGCGGAGAGAGGTCTGCATCCTCGAGGCTGAATGCGGAGCAAACGAGGTCGCTGAACTCCTGGACGGTGAAAGGAGAGGCACGGGGGATTTTTTTGGGCTTGAGCGAGTCCCCGCAACTGTGAATCCCCTTTTAATCATTCTCGCGCTTATCTTCATATTCCGTTCTGCAGCATCTGCGTCGATATCAGTGAGCACTTTGGTGAACTCCATCAAAATGCCTATGAGTGCGAGTCGCCGCTGTTATGTCTGGCGGTCCCTACCACGAAGGTCGCGTACAACATCCAGAAATGTCGATGAATGAGGTCGACATCGACGCGCTATCCTCCCTTTACATCTGGCCTGCGGTAAGCCCTTGCTCTCCATGACTGCTCCGCTCAGCGCTCACCCTGTCTCATTATAGGGCCGTGTGGTATATTTGCGCCCCATGCAAGGGTGAAAATACTCTCTACCGCCTGTGTTGCTATCTCAAAGTCATGGAGCACGGGGTTCGCGCTGGAATGGGCTCACGCAGCACGTCTCCCTTTCTTATGGCGCAACAATCGAGCAGGATATGAAACTCGAGATCGCAGCTTGTGGAGCGGAACCACACCAGTCTCGGTTCACTCTGCGCCCCCGCCCTCTGGAAGCTCGGCGCATATACGGCGTCCATTTACACGGTACAGAAAATCTGAAGTAGTCACTCGCGGACCGCTGTCTCATTATCTGCTCTAGCTTCAGTTCTGACTGGACCTTGACCTGAAGGTTGCGCAAAATGTCTCGCAAGAGCCCCGTTGGAGAACGTCTGGTGGTCCGCGCATTGATTACGCGCAATATGTGAGTGTATATCATTTCCTTTCGAATAATCAGTCTCCGGACTTTCAAGTGGAAGCGAGAAACCGAGCTACTGGTACGTGTTCAGCCTACCCCGTCGTTTTGACAAAACTCATCACGCGCCTGCGGTTTTTCCAACGTACACTCGTCCCGCTGACAGCGCTACGCTCACTCGGGCTATCCGCTGTATCCCACTAGAGCCTTCCCGCAGGTGTGCAGAACCACCGTGCTGCTAGGCATGCCCGGCGCGCCGCGTGCGCAGGCACTTCCAAAGTTCGAGCTAGCGTACGACTGCATCAGCGTGTCCCCTCTCAGGTACACACTGCACACAGGATTGCTCCCCCAATCTCCACTCTTATCCGCGGCGTCCGTGCGTATCTAGAGTTTTGCATGCAGTACGAGTCTCTATTGGCAGTGGCTCAGTGTGAGGATTTCACCGCCTCGAGATGTGCAGGGGCCGACCATTCCCGAAGGCGTTCTCGTCGGCGAGCCAGGCCTGACAGCACCACAAAACGCCATATGCATGCGGCCACCTCATGGTGGACTGCGCGTTTACTATGATTCTTTCATTGTTTGTATGGCAGGATAACCGCCATGTGATAAGACATATGGCATATGGTTTGCCCCCGTTAAATATTACCTACCTCGTATTCGAAAGTTCAGGACGGGAGGACCTCGTCG